TGCAATAAAAAAATAGTTCAAAATTTGACCACCTAGTGAAAATGTGGTACTTAAAGAAGAATGAAAACAGTCAGAAACATTAAACTGTATTCACTCACAGAATGTGTTCAACATGTATTTCATTGATATTAATTATGTGTTTAAAGTGCATTAAAGCATGTTCAATGCTAGTGCAAAGAAAGTCTCCAAGAATTTCAGCAACAAGAATAATGCTGGCTTTCAATTTAGGCAGAGTCCTAATTTCTCATCCATAATAATGATGTTTTAGGAATCCCCATAACCAGACACTGGTTGAGTACTTGTTGGAATATTGTGAATTGAAGGCTCTGTCAACCATAGCAACAGCAACTTCTTGGTCACTTTCTTTCTGCTGTCTTCTTGGCAGCATTCAAGTCTCCAGTCTCTCCAACTTACACAATCATATTTTTCAAACCATTCTTTGACATGGGTTCTTTTTGCAATCCTTTAAAATGTCAATATTCTTGTAGTGCAGCTAAGCTATTGCTGCCATTCTGATAAAACAGTTTTACCAGCAAAGCTCTGTCTTTCTTATTTAAGGGCATTATTAACAATAACATAAAGGCACGCAGAATGATTTTTACACTTTGAATGCAGGCTTTTTTAGTAGGTCTGCCTACTTTGCATAAGGATTTTCTAAAAAGTGCTATCTGGCAGTGGGTTTTTTACTGCAAAAATCTCTTCCCCGTGGTCTATATAATGTATGTACATAATAAGTTTTATCTTAATCCAATTATCGGAACAGGCCTCTAGAGGAGTCTTAATAGGGTCAGTTTAATTATAACGTCCCTGTATGTTAATAGAAATAAGAGGAATGAAAAATTTTTTATTCCTTGCTTGGGGCTATTAGTTGCAGCAGTTACTGCCAGGACATAGGTTTTCTCAAAATGGTGCTGACACACCAGGAGAAAAGTGTTGAGATAAAAACAAGCAACACCACTTACTATGTTTTTATTTATTTTTAGGAGAAAGTGTTGGTTTAATTTTCAATTTTTTGTATAGAATGCACCAAACAGTTGATTTAGGAATTCAAAGTTCTTCATATTCACATCTAGTTGAATTTCAAGATCTTCAGACAAAAGCAGTTTTAACTGACTCTACTTTTTCATCATTAGGTATTGGATGTCCTGATCAGTTGTTTCTGTATATGTACAATACCTGTCCTGCTGGAATTGCTCATATCATTTGATGATAACCTTGTATACTGGTGTAGATTTGTTAAAATTAACTTGAAAGTACTGCTGTACATTGACTACAGATGAAATTTTGGTGAAATCAATGACACAAAACATTTTCTCATGTTGTATCAGTGCTGAGAAAAACCTCTGCCCTGACATTAACTGTTGCAACTAATTGCCACAGACAAAGAGTAGAAAAATCTTATTTTTATTTTCTTTCTGTCTATTAACATATTTCAACCATTTTAATTGTAGATAGCGTAGTTTATGTATTATGAATTTTCTAAATGTTGTAAAGACTTATGGGACATACTGTATTTTATAGAAATTAGCATTTTTGTCTTCAATATATCAATATTTAATTATTATTATTATTATTATTATATGTTTTCTTTATTATTTGATATACTGTACTTAAATGTGAATTTTTAATTACTGTAATTTTGTGTCTGGATAACTCATGACAGTATATATATACATTGCAGAAAATTATTAAAACAGAAATAAAACAAAATATTTAGCTTGGCAAAGTATATGAGATATGTGATGAAGCTATGAATGTATACATTAATAAATGTTGCCATCAAAAACTGACAGACTGATCCATGATTTCACTATGTCCTGGAATTATATCACCAAAATCTTTTTAACTTTAAAAGTATGTTTGAAACCACTAGCAAAGAATTCACCAAATGGTCCAATAATAGAACTGAGCCAATGAATGCAAGATAAAAGGATATGTTACCAGCCAAACCTGATTTCAGGCCAAACTAGTTTATCCTAGGATAATCTAGTTTGGCCTAAATACTTTAGGCTTAACTAGTTTGACCTAGGCCGAACTGATTTATGTACTACAAATAGATGCCAGTGTAAAAAAAACTTTTGTGTAATTTGAAATGCCACCACAGTACACCTGGTGGTTAAAGGGTACCTAAGTAACCCCAATGGCAGTGCTTCGGTTAGGTTGGTTTGGTTAGGTTAACTACATTTTTAGTAGATGTTTCCCTTTTTTTTTTCTTTTGTTCAAGAACTACCGTGAATCAATAAATAGTGACGTTAAACAATGGGCAGCTTGCCAACAGCTCCCCTCCGGGAGGAATCCGCCGGGAGCACGAACAGTCCGAAGTGCCGCCATTGGGGTTACCTAGATACATTTTAACTCACCCTATAAAAATAAATAAAAGATTAAATATTTTATGTTACACTAAGAAACACAACCAATTTCATTTTTAATTTTAGTTTGATTTTAAAAGTTATTTTTATTATTTTGTTTGAATTTTTGAAAATATTTTCGAAAGTTAATTACCTTTAAAAGTGCATGGCTTAATAAAAAAAAATACAAACTGATAAGTACTGATTAGCTTATTTTTATTTTATAGTTTTGTACAAGTGTTGTGTCACTGCTAATCAATACTGTTTTTTATAATTAAGTAGACTATGTTTGAATAAATATTGTTCATCTAATTGATTGCCTTTTAATTTTATTTTAACCATTAATACACTTAAATCAGGCCTGGCCAACCTGCGACCCATCACATTAAATTGTGTGGCATGCTAATTGACATTATATAGCTATTAAAACTTTTGTTTTCCATTTTGTGTATACCAAAACAATTAAATAAATGAAAATTTGCATGTGTCATTGTTATAATGCGCAAGTGCAAGTACGAACTCTTGGTATAACAATGAAATCTTATTCATTTTGTATTTGTTTTACTTTTTTAAAAGTATGTTTGCCTAAATTGTGGCCCATTGTAATGTTATGCTTGATCAAAGTGGCTTGAGAAACAATTTGGGTTGGCCAGGCCTGACTTAAATAATAATTCTAAATCAGTTTGGCCCAGGACAAACTAGTTAAGCCTAAAGTATTTAGGCCAAACTAGATTGTCTTAGGCTAAACTAGTATATCCTAACACGCGTAGGATAAAGTAGTTTGGCCTAAAATCGGGTTTGGCCGGTAACAGATATATTGTGATTATTGTTGGTAAATTTAAACAAGTACAGGTAACTTGAATGAACATTGGAAATTTATAATTTTTATTGGCTTCTCTTTTCCAGCCAACAAAATATAAAGACATTAAATGGTACTTGGAACATTTTTTTACCAAAAAAGACAGGAAGTTCTTTGAGCAAGGAATTATGGAACTGCCCAAAAGATGGCAAAAGATTGTAAATCAAAACAGCTTATATATTATTGAATAAATCTGTTGCTTTCTTTGAAAAAATTATCTTCCATTTATGCATTAAAAGACTGCATGGACTTATTGGTCAACCCTATATTATATATTTTATTAATATCATTTGATAAATAAAACAGAAATGAAGCTATATGATAAAAAATTTAGTCTTTCAGCAGTCAACTCATTCAAATGAAAGATATGTCTTGTTATGTGGTAAAGATTTCACAGATTGTAATGATTAGACCAGAGGTGGCCAACAGTTCTTGCCCCCGGGCCAAATTGGAAAGAGAACTTTTTTTTCACAGGCCGATCCAGAGGCTGCTGTAGGAAGGTTTTGAGGTGGTGCGATATCTCATTGTGGTGTCACCCCATAGAGACTAAATTGTACATAGAGATTAGAGATACATTTTTCACATTATCATGCTTTATCAACATTCTATGCTGTACTTAAGAGATTGTAATGGAGGGTTAACTCTAAACGCACAGTGAGTTGTTGACTTTTTTTTTTTTCCTTTTCTTTTTTTTAGGCATTAGAATTTTTCACCGATCTATTCTGACTTGAGTAGCTAATATTGAAAGATTAATCACGGGCCACATAAATCCATTACACAGGCTACATCCGGCCCGCGGGCCATATGTTGGCCATGCCTGGGTTAGACCATCTAATAGAATGCTGAAATTTTGTCTTGTTCATCCAATTGCTATTTAGAAAACTTTTAGATAAGATTTATTTTATGAGTATCTTTTCAAAAGCTATCAAATATTTTAAATTTTATACAAATGTTATTTTAATTAATATAAAATGAATTTTACACTATAGAGTTTTAAAAAAATGAAGCACATAAACCAAAATTATAATGTCATCATGTAATGGTTTTATTTCATTTGCAAAAAAAATGGAAATAATGCTGCTGTGTGTAAACAAAATGAAACATTGCACACTCAAGCTAGAGCTATTGTTTTAGTTAAATCACTTTATAGTAATGAAAAGAGCAGTGAGTTTATTAAGATGATAGGTTATAAGACATGTCTTAATTGTCAAAGTCCTCAGAAATGTCTTCATTGTGTAGGTAGGGGATAATTACCAGAAATTAATCAGCTTTTATGATATAAATTCAAATAAAAGTGTCTAATTATATCAATTAAAGCATGATTAAATGTAATGAAAATGAATGAGAGAAAAGTAGAGGTGAGGTATACCTTTGGTGATTTAGAAAAAATCATGACAGCATAAGATTGTTTATGGCATACAAAATATTTTTCATGTTTTCTAAATATGCTTTTAGTGACTTTCAATGAAAGAAAAGAAACATGATGAGTTTATAATTTTAAAATTGACATTAACCTGCCCCATTGTGAATTCTACAGCTGCTTTCAAATTGTCTTTTAAACACAGGTAACCCATGGATTATTTGTATGAAATTACAATAACTATATAAATTCAGAACAAGCAGAATATTCTGTTGTTTATTATTATTATTATTAAGTTTCCTAAAATTAAATATTATATGATAAATGTTATTGATTTTTTAACTATAATTTAATAATAAAATAATTTTAAAAAATTAAATTTGCATAAATGATGATAAGTTATTAATATTTCTATATATATTTTTTTTTTTAGAATGTAAGATGGAAAAGAAAGACTCATTAACTGTAATCAATGAGGTAATTATTTACATAATTTATAAATTGAAATTAAACTTATAACCATAAACAATTTTAAAAATTAGTGATTTTCTGTTATATACAGGTTGTTCAGAAAATTGCATCACCCCTGTTTTTTCATTTTTGTGAAGGAGATACTGAGTTGTATTATAAGTTAGAACATATATTATACTTGTTCAGAACATCAGTATGATCTCCATTGCGATCACTGTAGAATCTGATATGGCATCAAGTGTATTGAAATGCTTTGCAGAGATAATCTGGTGTGAGAAGAGAAAATTCTTCTATTACTGCAGTCTTCAACTCACTTTTCTATTGTTTGATAGTGCTGTTGATTGACTTTCTTCTTGCTGAACCCCACAAGGTGATGTCAATACTATCAGACAACTACCAAACAAGAATTGAAGAATGCTGTGATAGTCTGGTTTTAAGAGAAAATGCTTTTATCTCCATAAAACATCTTGGCAAACTTGATGCCATATCAAATTCTGCAGTGATCATGACATAGTGATGTTCTGGACAAGTATAAGGTATGTTCTGATATATAATGTTTTGGTATTGCCTTTAAAAGAAGAAAAATCAAAAAAAGGATGTTATGAATTTCTGGACATTTTGTATTAGGGTATAAGGTTAGATATCCTGGTATACGATATTAATAAAACAATAGCCAACTTTTTGTAAGTCATAATTTTCCTGTACATAATGCTTTCAGGTTGATTTTAATGCTTCCAACTTCCAAGCTGAAAGTATTTATTTCAATATAGAAATGAATTCTATACTTAGAATTATTTCAATGTTGTTCTAAATTTTTATTAGGCTGTTTTTTTTTTATTTGTATTAACCATTCAACTTTTATATATAAAAGAATTTAAAATAATTTTTATGTTATAGATATGTGAAATGAAGAATTGCTCAAAATGCATTTATTTTGAAAATAAGAAGAGGAAAGATTTATATATGTGGTAAGGATATTAGTAATCTTACCTTATTAAAGTTTTAAAATTTATTTATAGTAACATCTTTATTTTATTATATTTTTATTGCTATTAATATTTTTTAGATAGATGTTTAACTAGAAAATTTTAAATCTTATTTAGCTTGCTTGAAATAATTATTTTAACAGACTGTTTGTTTTTTTATTTATACACTCCAAAAAGAAGAATGAGAAAGCAGAAAATTTAGCATTTAACATGTAGAATAGAAAATAAAATATTTGAAATATTGAAGAAATATTTCAAATATTTTATTATATATTAAAAAATATTACTGGAAACATGACTGATTTTATGTAATTATTGTAAAATAACTAAAAGTATTTTCATTTAAAAGTATAAGTTTGTACTTATTTAAAGTTTTTATTATCATTTTTGATGAATCTCAAAACTGTGGCTTCACTTCTATATTGTTTGACTTTGTATTATTTGAAATGTTATCATTATACTACTATTTCTTTATATTCAGTTTTTCAAAAATATTAATTTTTTTAATGAATATTATTTATACATAAACAATTAAGATGATGATACTAATTTAATACTGTCCACATAAGTTAGGTATCCATTTCAGTTCCTATTTCCTTTGCTGTTTTCTAATAAGTATAATAAGTACAGGCGTGAATCCTGCAGACATTTATAAATAGTGATGCACTATTTGACTAATAAAATACTCATTTATTAAATTATGTTTCAATACAATTTAATAAATGAGTTTTATATGTGGAATAGTACATCATTATTTATAAGTGTGTGCTTGGATCTGCATCTGTACTTATTAGAAAATGGCAAAAAAAATAGGAACTGAAATGGACATCTGATTAATACTATCAGTATTAAATTAGTGGTATTCTAATTAGCTGCCCAAACTGCAGGAAATGGAATAATAGTTCTTTTTTGTATAGTTTTTAGAATGACTTCTATCTTTTATAGTATCAGAGTTTATAATATTATAATATCAATATAGCATCAATAATTTAAAAATAGTTCCATTGATATTTTTTTACTATTGCTTATATAAAAGTATTTTATATTATAAATAAATACAATTTATAAATATAAAAATTTTCATGATATTGATATTTAAAATTTTCAGGATATCAAATGTCCCATCTGGTCCATCAGCTAAATTTTTAGTTGAAAACAGTAAGTAAAATATTTATTTTAGTTACTATTTCTGAAACTTTATTGAATCTTGCAAAAAGTTCATAGATTCAAGATTTACATAAAGTTTAAACAATCATAAATGATGCTACTAGAGGAGGGGAGGTTAGGTGAATCAATATAATTGCATCTTGAAAACTCTCAGTTGACACAATTTATATTCAAATTTTATTCATCTTCAACTAACTTATTATCCTATCGTTAAGACTAATTGGCAACTTTCTCTTATTTTAGTTACCATGTCCTAAGCTTAAATAAGTATTTCTCAACCTGTGTGCTCTGACTCACTTCTGTGTTTCAAGAGTGCTTCAGGTGTTTTGTGGAAGTTTTAAATATTTTTTATAATTTTGAATAAGCTCTTTTTAAAAATTTTCATTAATCTTTTATCTTTTTACTGCTAACTGACCAAGGGAGGAGGAAGTATTTACTAAAATGCCGATTGTTGCAAAATTTGCAGCATTGGCATATCTCCTTCACAAAAGTTGCATGCTTCTTTGCATATGCTGGTGTATCAACTCTTTGGAGCTTCTATAAATATTGCTTATCAGCTTAAAGACCAATACTAGCTCTTTACATATTGATTCGTCTTTATTATACGTCTTTACATATTATACGTCTTTATTTTTTTAATATATTTGTAAAGTTGTGAGTCTGTTTTGGTAAGTTTAACAACCTTATTATCAAAATTTTTTTAAATCAACAATGATTTATTTTAGAAGTTCTGGTGTGTCATAGGAATCTTATTAAATTCAAAGTGTGTTGCTAATCCAAAAAGATTGGGAAACACTGGCTTATATCAAATTGCTTTGTTTATTACAAAGCTCTTGGGTGAAACTTCTTCACTTACTTCTTGAGTGCTCCAAACTTATGTTTGGAGTTATTGAGGTGTAAACTTTACTCTCGATCATGGAACACTTTGTCTGTCTTTAAAAAATCTCAAAAATTTAAATAATTAGATGGAAATTTATTGGTGTAGTTATTTTTCTCAAGCTTTGCTGCCCCTGGAAAAGTTTTTGTTGATGCCTATGAACAGTATACATATATTTTTAATTCCAACTTTTTGCATTCTCTTTAATTTTTTTTAATAAGCTTTAAACATCAGGAATAATAATGGTAATAATAATACTAATGATAAAGTAAAATAATAAATAATTATGTTACATATTAAAAAAAAACTAAAATTGCAAAGTTTTGAACACACATTATGTCACTCCACTGCCCAGCATTTTGTCCATATGGCTATCACTGCTTTGAGGAAACATGAAGCTTCTAAAATCTTATAAATTAAACACTCAGTTTTCAGAGGTCCGTGTTCAGCATTGGGTCTTATTATTTGGATAAGGAGCTATTTGTATTAATGGCTACATGCTCACCAAGCTCCATTTGAATCAGAGACCCAAACATCTGACCTTTTACTTGTTGCTGGACAAGGCCTACAGAAAACTTACGTGTGATGCTTGTAAATGTCTCTGTGGTTAAGACGTTCCTAACTATGTGACTTGTTTTATTATTATGTTGGGTTTTGTGAGTTATACTCGGTTCACACCGGTGGCTGTGTACTATGCCAGACCAAAGTCAAGTCATAGCAACCAAAACAAAATTAAAATTAAATAAGTGTGTCAGTGTGTGTGTCTGTATTCAGGAATTTCCTAACAATGTGGCATGTATTCAATATAGTGGTCTTCTGTAGTGTGATGTATGTATTTCCACTCAATTGTAATGTTTCTAGGCTTTTGTGTAATGTATGTGGTATCATACCTGTACAGGAGAAAACGACAGGTACAATAAGCACCCTATCCATTTTCCACAGATGCCTTATTATTTGGGCGAGTTCTGTGTACTTGCTAATTTTTTCAGTGCATGTGTTTTGTACATTGTGAGTGTTTGGAATGGCTATGTCTATAATGTATGTGATTTTATTGTGTTTGTCAATGAGTGTGATGTCTGGTCTGTTGTGGTAAATTGTTTTATCTGTGATTATGGCTCTGTTGTAGTATATTTTGTGCGTGTTGTTTTCCAATACTGTCTGTGGAATGTATTTGTAGTATGATTCATGGATGTCTAATAATTTGTGTTTCTTTGCAAGTTCTTGGTGTATTATATTTGCTACTTGATTATGTCTGTGTAAATAATCTGTCTGTGTCAAGAGCTTGCACCCAGAAGTGATGTGTTGTATAGTTTCTGGCATAATGTGACATTTTCTGCATGTGTCATTTGTGAGTGTTGTATCTTTGAGTGTGTTTTCTTAGTTTTTAGTATTTATGACGTGATCCTGTATGACAATCATGAATCCTTCCATTTCCCCAAAGAGGCATCCCAATCTAACCAGCTATTATTATTATTATTATTATTTTTTTTTTTTTTTTTAAGTGTGAATAACAGTGTTCAATTTTTTTATTTTCAGCTCATACTATGGAAGAATTAAAATTAACAGGAAACTGTTTAAAGGGCTCCAGACCAATTGTTTCTTTTGATAAAGTAAGTTATTTTATTTTTTTATTTTCCTGCTTAGGTTATTTTCATATATAATAATAAGTGTTAAGAACATCTGCTTATACTTATAGAAGCCAAAAAACTTTATTGCTGGATTAAATGTTTTTTGGAATTGTTTTACACCATTTCTATAGAGATGTCTTCAAACTATGGGACCATGATACCTCATTCATGAGATTATGAAACATTTAAATTTAAATATATAGCTCTCCCTTGATAGTCCGGCGTTTTTTAATCTGACATGCTCAGTAGTCTGACGCACCTCCCGTCAAGGTACCCGTCCCCATTACGTGTCTGCTTGCACAGAAGCATGTTGCGATGTGAATCTCTCCATCCAATTCTTACTCGTCCCCATTACGTGTCTGCTTGCACAGAAGCATGTCACAACGTAAATCTCCCCATCCAATTCTTACACGATGACACACATTTCGTGTGTTTTCTGTGAGCAGTTCTGTTCAAACAGTTGGAGTAGGGAATATTGTAAGCTACTGCTAGCAAAACAATGCAAAATATGTAATTATTTTCAGTAATCCGGATGCTTTTGGTAATCCAACACCCCTTTGGTCCCATACCTGTCGGACTATTAAGGGAGAGCTGTATTTTTTAACAATTTTCAATTTAGTTAAAAAAATTATATTACACTCTGTAAATTTGTGGTTTAATAAATTGTTTTTGGTTTGACTAGACATATTAGATTTTCTTTGTGTTTAAACATTCTAAATATTTAAAACTGTTTTAGAATTCTATCTGGAAAATATTTGCTAGGCAGCTACTGGATGAAATTATTTGAATATGTGCCATAGTAGAAAAATGCTGAGCAAGAACAGGAGTTAAAATTTTTTCAATGTACAGAATTTAATAGTAGCAGAATATTATGTTGTTTGTTGCTGTTTAAGAAATTTATACTTTTGAAGATGAACAATAAGTTTGAAAGTTCTAGCATTTGTTTTATGAGTAAGGAATGCATTAATAAAACACAATAATTTGTTTTTTGTGGTAGGAAATGTAGTAGTTAAAACATTTTGAATATTTTAAGTTGAGAATATGGAAGTTTTAAACTAATTTATGATTATCTATCACATCATTCTCTTATCCAATAGGGTGTGTTTAATGTAATCATTTTATAATTAATTAAATATAAAATTAAAATATATTTAAGCCTAGAAATTACAGTATTAAAATTATATAAAATTTACAATAATAACTTATATTTTTGTATATTATTTAATTGATATAAATAATATATACTCATTTTTTAACATGAAATATTTACAGAATTTTAAATCACAACCATATTTGAATCTTTTACAAGAATTATTTAAACAGGTAAGATTTATGTAGACTAAAAAATTTATTATTTCTTGAGTCATTTATAAAAACTTTCTAAATATAAGGAAAATTTATTACTGACTTTTTTCAGTTTTCCTGATTTTTGTTTTCTTATGAATATTAATAAAATACATTTATTTAAATCAGAATAATTTTTACCAGTTTATCTTTTTAATACAAGGATACATTCATTTCCTAACAAAACAATTAAAAAAATTTTTTTATAATCCATTAATGTTATTTATTTTTTTTTTTTATTTATTAAACCAAACGTCTAAACGCAACATTTCAGCTTTTATTTATATTAAATATGATGATAATGTTTAAAATGATGTAAATTTCTGATTAAAATGTAAATTGTTTAATAAATTCTTACAATTCCATTTTCCTTAAACTTAAAATAGCTATACCTAAATTAAAAATGTAAGTAATGAGAGAGATATTGACACTTTGCAAGATATATAAACAAATTAATTATTCAATAATTGATTGACACTTGAGCTGAATTATTTTAATAATTTACTAGAATAAATATTTCATAAAATGCTCTTAATAAACAATAAAATGTGATAGCTAATATTTCAATATATTTTTTTTTAATAAAAAAATGAATATAGATTTTTATATTTTATTTATTTTCAGGTATTTTCTACACCTAATCATCATCCTAAAAGTCAACCATTTATTGATCATGTATATACATTTAGTATATTGGATAAGAAAATTTGGTTTCGAAATTATCAAATAGTTGAAGAAGATGGATCTTTAGCAGAAATTGGTAAATTTTATTTTTATAAATGTTTTTCAATTTTAATATTAAAATTTATTTTTTAAATAGTTATGTTCTTAATAAAGTAAGAAGTAATATTAAAATATTTAATTTGGTTTAGTATTTATTTTTATTCTTATATTTTTAGTTTAATCCAATTTGGAAATTAATCATTAAGATTATTTACTTAGCTCATTATAAAATAAATTTTTATTTTAATAGAAATTTAGCATAATTATTGATTTATGTGAAATATTTTCTTGCCAAATTAATCTTCTTACAAATAATGCCAAATAATATCATAATGCATCTGACTATATTTTAGATACATTATTAATTAATTTTAAGTAATTTGTTACTTCTTACAAATATTTTTGATTGTTTGGAAAAAAATATGATTCAATTAAATAACCTAAAGAAATTTCCTGTTATGATGAAGGTTATTGAGAACTTGTATGGGATCTGTTCATTGTTTTTTTTTTTTCTTTTTAACAAATGAAATACATAGAATTTTACTTTATTAATAAAGAGCAGTCTTAATGATTTGATTTTCTGTTAGTAAAAATAACATTAATTTTATAGGAAAACAAACTACTAGGGGCCTTAAGTTTTCTCTGGACAGAAAAATTCCAGCTCTCCCTGAATGCCTTGATTATGTATAGGGCAGGAGTTGCTAAGTTTAAGCACACTTACCACTTGACATATATAAAGAAATTTTACTTGATACAAAAAAATAACTTTAATATTTTATCACTTTTTAATTTGTTACATAAGATTTATAGTTACAGTAAACATTAAGCAATAGATTTCTTTTACATGAAAATCTTTTAAAATTTGGCAACATATTTAACAAAAAATAAAAATACAGCAAAATTAAGGTAACAAAAAGCTTTTTAATAGGCACAAAATGTTTTTGGAGTATTTCGCAGTTCATCTTCAGCTCAAGGTGGAATCAAATTTTGGAGTTCTGTGGCATTGTAGAGTGAGATTAAATTTGTAAAGCATTACAAAAAATAAACAAACAAAATAAGAATAAGATGAAACTTTTATAGGAATTTTTAATGTTTGTGATGACATTACAATAGGTATCAAACTTTGTTAAATTTTCACAAATCTTATTACCTGAAAATAAACAATTTATTTAAGAGAGTTATACATTGACATTTATTTGCTTTTTTGTTTTTTTTTTGGTGACACAGTCATTGATTGATTTTTTGATTGTCATCAAAATCATTGATTTGAATTTTTTAAATTTGCCTTAAATGCTTAAATTTAAGGAAGTAGAATTTGTCTTTTCAGTTTGTTAGGGAAAAAGAATTATATGAAACTAAAGTCTGTGTCAATATAGCAAATTGTCTATGAACTGGCAACACCCATACGAGACTGCTCGAAATAAGAAGAGGCCTGTTTTCAGTTGCGTGCCAAGTTATGGACATGTGAACAAGTTCATGTAAATTTTTTAGAATAAAATAAATTTTAATTCTAAGTTAAAGGACTGCCTCATCATTGTCCTAACACAGTTAGGTGTTTTACTTGATCAAAATTTTCTGTTTAATATTAAAAATAGCTCTGCTGGGATCTTTTTCTGATGGTTCTGTAATAAGTTGTGTAATAATATATTTTTTAATTTATTTAAAATTTTTCCATAAAAGGTATGGCAAAGGAATTCTTTAGTATCAAAAGAGAAAGTATGATAAATACGATATCAGCATATATACAAATGTAAATAAGTTTAGATATAAAATTAACTCTTTAACCACAGTATACTAGTTCTAAAGATCCTTTCTTAACAAATATTTAAAAAATGTAAAATTGGTTGAAGAGATTATTATATGTATTATTAAAGTTATGAATTTAAGAATGGATTTTATGCTATTTAGCTAAAACAATTATATAATTTGTCTGCTTTTGTCCTTAACAATCAAAAATTTGTATCATTCATTAATACACTGTTTTTAATTGTTTAATAAGAATTATAATTATCATAACTTTTAAGGTTAAAATCTTAAAAAATCTAATGAATTAATGAAATTTTGTAATTTCAATTATTCATAAACTAATCCTGTTTAGTAAATAATATAACAATACATCAAATTGCAAGAGTCATAGATATCTTATTTACTAATTTTCAAATCTGAAATATGTTGTTGTTATTACATGTTGCTGCTCACTTAACATCACTTGAAACAAATGTATGGCACCACTTTTATTATTATTTTTTAATGTTACAATTTAAAAATTCTTCATAATGATGGTTTAAAAGCCTAAGTAAATTAAATATAGAATAGTTGAATTACACGCAAACTAACGTACAAAAGCAAAATTATAATTAAGAATATTTTCAAACATTATCATAAAACTGAAGAATTTCTTTAAGACATTACACAGAAATATTTAACAATAATCAATAGTTAAAGAGAATTTTTGAAAATGTAGTAATAATACTGTAACATTATAATAAATAAAATTATATAAAAATGCTCTAATTTAGCACATTTGGAATTGAACATTTTAAATTGGTGATTCTTATAGTCAAAGGACTATTTAATCCTATTTACAGATGAACCACAAATTAGCTATGTCCCTATCCACTTCATATATCAAATTCATCTTAGATTCATGTCAAAATAGTTTGTACATTTAATAATCTAACACAATGTATAATTGGTGCAAAGAAATATTTTTTTTTCCTCTGGATAAACAGTATATAATGATAATGTAAAAAAATGATTCATTTAGTCTGCAGACCATCTGGCAAATATTTATGGACCAATGTGTGGCCCAAGGACCATATTATGTGAATCATTGATTTACCAATTATTCAAAAATTATTCTTTATACTGTATGTTACTATGATTTTTTTCCATTTGTTTTTACATGTCCTTTCATTCAACTTAATGTAGTACATGGGGATTTGAAAACAAACACTTTTATTGCACAAAAATTATCTATCATTATTCTGTTTATTGTCTATATGACTTGGCTATATATATAATATGATTTGAATTTTTTAAGTTTTATTTACAAATTATTAAAGATAGAATAAATTTTTCTTTCTTTGTTGGTTTAAAAACCAACAAAGAAAGAAAAATGTTTATTAGAACACTATTCAAAACTTATGTTACATTGAATAGAAATACAAATATTAAATTTATATAAAAAATATTATTTTTAATTGAATATAAAACAAAACTTTAAATTAAAAAATTATAATAGCTTTCCTAATTTTCAAATGTTTATAAAAATATTAATAATTTTCTTCAGCTTTTTAATTTAAAATGTTAAAAATATTTCTAATGAATACATAAAATCCAAAATAATGAACAAATATTTTTAAAAAGTAGGTAGACTATTTACAAATATACATTCTACACAATATTAATAAAAACAATGTTTTGTAAAATTAAATCATTATTTACTTTTTATAAAATAAAATTTAAGAGTGAACATAAACATCAATAATTTTTCAAATACATGCAAGCATGTGGTGAAAAAGTACTAAGACTTACAGAATTATCATTTCTCTTTATTATAATTTATATTTTCAGATGAAATATAACATAAGAAATTAAATTCACAAATAATTTAACATTTTTTTAACGTAAGAAATGCATCATTATGGTCTAAAGATAATCTAGAGAAGATTCCAGACATGTATTAATGATGACAGCAAAAAGTGGCAACTGTTATTCTAAATTTGCAAGCAAAATTTGTTATCATGTTACAGTGTTATTGTTATTCTATTTCCATTCAAAGTGATAATTTTATATAAGTATTAGCATTTTCTTGAAAAATCCTGTATTTTTTAAACTTTGAATTGCAATGTATAAATTAATATAAATAAGATATAAGTTTTGTTCAGTATTGAATTTTAAAAAAGAGAGAAAGAATATGAATAAAAATGTATTCTTGAATGTTTAAATGCCTAACTATTGGAAGAATAAAATATTATTCATATTCACAGCTAAGAACTTAATGATGTTACTGCTGTTTCTTTAATATTTGTATAGATATATATACAGTATACAGTAAAACTTCTCTAATTTGAAGCTACAAGGGGCAGGAAAAAAAATTTGAATTACAGACGATTCAAGTTAGAGAATAATAATGTAAAAAATGCTGATTCTGAATAGATTTGTATTTTACCTCTCTGGCATTATATAAAGAATCTTTGATAGTTTTTTTTTAACAGCCCTTATAACACCTTTCAGTAAAATGTTCAATGTAATTGATGGAATCGAACAGTTTTGCAAGTACAGTAATACCCCGACTTTACGATTTATATGATTTTCCCCCGAGTTATACGATTTTCAAATCTCGTCGATTCGTCTTTTGTTTGAGCGCCACACAACCCTTGATTACTCACTCCCCCCACACTATTGTTCAGCTTACATGTTCGGATGTGTCACATGGAATCAACACATAGCTACAATTTATTTTGTGTTATTTATTTCTGTGTTTGCTATATCTACGGAGACTTTACTATGTCATCCAAAGAAGTAGAACTAATTCTTCTGCATCAAACAAGAAAAGAAAAACTTTATCTTTGGAATGTAAAGTTAACATTGGGTATGTTTGTAAAGTCGAACGAGTTAAACGAGAATGATGTCATCGTTATTCCTATTTCGTTAGACTTTTTGAATGATTTATTATTAATGCATTTAACTCGTTTGACTTTACGAACATACCCATTATTAAAGACTTCGATACAAAAATGAAAATTTGTGAATTGGCAAAGAAGTTTGATCTACCAGAATTGTCGGTCAGAACAATTATAAAAGGCAAAGAAAAAATTCTCGAAGCTGTGAAAAATGCTCAATCTTTAAATTCAAGCATCATTCGTAAATGTCACGGTATTATCACTGAGATGGAAACAATGTTAAAATTATGGCATAATAATCAAGTAAATGTGAAAAATTGTAAAATAATATAGGCCTAATTTGTTATACATATGTATTATCTAAGATTTTATTAAACATTTTTTTCTAAATGATAGTTTTCTTTAGTCTCCGGCCCCAAATAAAAATTATTTGTATGTATTTATATGTGAAATTATACCCCGACTTACACGAATTTGACTTACGTGGTTACCACTCGGTCCCAGCTATCGTGTAAGTTTGGGGTATTACTGTACATCTTGTTGAGATAAACCAAGAGGACTTCTTGCTTGGGACTGGAACGTTGTTTGAAAATGGTGTTGGAGAGTTGATACAACTAACTGTCTGAATTTTTTATGGAAATTCAATAATTAGATCATTTAAGATAGAAAAAATATTAAAATTAGATCATGGAAGTTGAAAGTAACATAAATTGATGCTGGGGACCATGAAAAACTTCAACTCTGAGAAAATTTGAGTTAAGAAATTCAAGATTAAGAAATTTGAGTTAAGACATTAAATCCCTATGCAGTTCCATTGAGACCTATCAAGTACTTCATTTTCTTAGAGTTAAAGAAATATTCAAGTTAGATGTTTGAGTTAGAGAAGTTTTACTGTATACAGTTAGTTGTATTTTTGTTTTTTAGATTGTCACATTTCAAATTGCTTTATATAAATGCAACAAATTCCTAAATGTTATTATAGAAAGCTTTGTTATACAAGACTTGAAGGGAAATTTGTTATAGATGAATTTGTTTTTATGCTTACTATGTTGTCAGTTCATTGTATTTATATTCAATAGAAATTGCTTGTGACTGTGCTTGGTTCTATAATTCTTTCAATGTATATTATTATAATACTAAACTGTTTCATTCTTTGACAGTTTACTTTAAAATTAGCAATAAAAAAATAAATTTATTTATTATAGTTGAACATAATTTGATATAGTGTGAAAATAGTGAAGGAAAAATGTTTCACAAAATACAGGTTGTTTGATGAAACCAACACTGCACAGATCAGAAACTCAAATTTTTTTAACACTTACAAATGTTCAATATGTGCAACATGGGTGACATGACATACACACTATTGATATGACAATCCAGTTCTTGCCACACTTTTTGCATCATGGGCCTAACGATAGTGGACACTGCTGTGGCAATATGTTCTTTTAGTTCTGTGGTATCATGCAACAACGGTGGGAGGAACACTTTGTCTTTTATGTAACCCTACAAAAAGAAATCATACAGTGTGAGGTCCAGTGATCTTGGAAGCCACAGCATCAGGTGTTGGTTATTTTCAGATGCATGTCCTATCCAATGCCTTGGCAGCTATATCTAGGGAGAGATGTACTTCATTATGAAAGTAAATGGACCGCCATTGTGGTAAAAAAAAATGAAATGCAGGTTATCAAATAACAAGGGCATAAGCCACGACTGTAATATATCCAGGTATGTCAATCCTGTTATAGATTCTTTAGTGAAAAAGAATGGCCCATACACATAGAACATTTGTAAGTGTTTGAGTAAAAAAAATTGAGTTCCTGTCCTTTCAGTGTTGGATTTGTTGAGGTAAGTTCAGTACTTCTCTTAGTGACTTTTTATAACTCAAAAAACATTATGGAACATTGTATATAACATGATTGTTCTGAAGTCCTTCATTGTGAATAACAGAAAAATTCAATTAAGTTGTTTAATAAATAAAAATACTGTATAATTTTATACTAACTGTTTTATATTTCATTTTTTAGGACCACGATTTGTATTGAATCCGATTAAAATATTTGATGGAAGTTTTGGTGGCCAGGTCCTTTATACAAATCCAAATTATGTTGCACCTAGCACAGTAAGTAATGAAGTTTTCATGTATTATTAACTCATTTATTGAATAAAAAAATTGAATAAATAGACCTATTTAACAAATGGTACAAATTAACGTTTGCTATTATCATTAATAATAAACTTTGATGTATTTACTAACTAATACTGATAGCATTACTTGATATTGAATTTTATAGCTAACTAATTTTTGTTAATGTTATAGATATTTATAATTTGAAACATGCTTCAAAGTATTTATATATATATAAATTTTTTAATTTAATTTTTTTTATAAATTAAACATATCAACTGATACTATGACCTGAAGGATTTATTGTAGTAGAGTAGAATTATCATATTTAATATATTCATTGATGAAAAAGTTCTGCAGTAAGAAAGCTTTGGAATCAAATAAAACTAGATGATGATCAATGGTAATAAGTGATTAAATTAGCATAGCAAAAGGACAATTTCCTGTGGAACAGCAACACAAATTTAAAGAATTTTTAGTGTATTGTAGGACCTCATCTTGCCTAGATATGTGGCAGTATAGTTGGCATGGAGGCATATTTAATGTTGTAACTACCATTCCAGATCCCTCACATTCATAGATGGCTGAAACTGGCATCCCATATGATTTTACAAATATTTAATGGGTGACAGATCTACAACTGGAAAAGTCAAGGAAGTGTGGTAATATTATAGACATTCATGGGAAACCCTACCTATGGTCAAGTATTAATTTGCTGGAAAATAACTTTGCCATCCTGTCAATGAAAGACAATTCATGAGGGTACAGAATTTCCTGAACATTCTCTTTGTCATTAAATTTGCACTAATCCAGTAGTAGGGGCAACCCTATCATATTGAGAGGGTTTCCCGAACTTGCTTGCCAAAAATGAGAATTTGCTGCTCAACAATAAAGGTGAAATTGAATCACTCATCAGTTTCTCCTCTACATTCTAACACTGATTGTCTATTCTCAAACAGAACCAGGATTTGTTGCTAAAGATGATATGCTGCCAGTCTCTAGAAGTCCATGCAAATCTTTCATAGCACCACTGCAAACAAAGCTAACAATGTTAGGTGTTAATGGTGGACAGTAATGATTGCTGTATTTGCAAATTTGCTTCTGCTAGTCACTTGCAAGCATTTATAGCAAGGCTTTCATCTTTCTCTGGATGGTGGACAGACACTGTTGAATCTGTTCATGCTTGTATCACAATCAGACCATTGTTTCTGCTGATGATCCTGTGACCTGGCAATGATTTCAAGGTGCCCATTGAATTCTTAGAAAGTATTCAGTTCTTATAAATTACAAAAAAAATATTTGATAGATTTCAAAACTTTGCATATGTAGTGTGAAAGCAGGGTCCTAAAGCTGTTGTGAAAAATCTGAAAGGTTACTGATTATGAATCTTAGATAGAAAAATTATCCTCAAACTGTAGAATATTTTCTATTAAACAAAATACTTATTTCCATTATAATGATATTATAATTTTCTTTTTGCTTATACAGAGTTTATTTGTATTTTTCTGATTTTGGATTTAAAAGTTAAATGAAGTAAAAATTTGTAAGCAGTTTTTGTTATTTTTTTAATTATTCAAATTAAATATTTGACTCATGATTTGGAGTAACTAAATTTTGAATTTAGTTACTCCAAATCAAGAGTCAAATATTCACTCTACACCATAGCTGGTTTAGGGCATCTAGAGCATGCTCACTTTGTACATGCACCCTGATGTATTCACTGTTCCCAACACCTGCTCACAGTCAGGTCAGAATATCAGACAACTCACAAGGGGATATCTGAGCTTTGACATCCTGAATTTTGCTGAAATTTTGATATATTTTAGTACATTCCTTCATTGGCAAGAGTTATGGTAACAACTTTTGCCAATGAGCAATAGTTTATACGAAATTACTGTTTAAACTTTTTCACATATTATATATATTGAATTCTATAAATAAATTGTAATGAATAGGTATAGATCAGTGAGTAAATCACCAGGTGAAAAGCTCAATGTTATAGATTCGTTCTGCTTTTATTCAACTTTTTTCACAATGTTTTCTGAAATGGCAAATCTTGTGAATTATTAGAAAATATATTTGGCCCAAAATACTATTTTGTAATTATTAAAATCATTCTCAAATGTTTAAATAACTGTAGATGAAGTATTAATGTGCTATTTACACTTGGTGGTTTAAAAATATGCAAATTATTTTAATAATTACAAAACAATGTTTTTAGGCTAAATATATTTTCTAATAATTTAGTGGATTGCACACCTCAGAAAAAATTTTGGAAAAAAAAACAGGATGAAACCATGACATCAAGCTTCTCAACTTGGTACTTGCTTGTTAAAAATTAATATATAAAACTCAATATATAACATATATAAAAAAGTTTAAACAAAATTTATCATAAACTCATTTGCTGCTTGTTGGCATGAGTTACATTACTATGCATTAGTGGAAGGAATATACTAAAATGTATTAACATTTCAACAAAATAATCATCTTGCTTTTCTTAGCCTGATGATGTGGCCTTTCTCAACATGTTGGCTGTGCTTAATGTCTTTGACTGTGTTGTACAGGCATGCCTGGCACTTGAAGATCACCAAACAAAAAATACATTGAAAATTCTGAGCTTTTCTATAGGATACTGGGATAGTGATTTTCAGGCAGTCTTGTGACGTTAGCTAGTATGCAACCAGATCGTAACTGTAATTATTTACATACCTGTCTGAGACATAACTGTATGCCAAGTTTTGCAGTAATTGAACAATTCTATCTGGGTTTGTAACTTTTGTCAATGAGTGTATATGTACTGTACTTTTGTATTTCTAGTATCTGTGTCTATTTTCATGCATTTTTATGAATACAGTCTCTTTGAAATCCTGTAGATATTCATAGAATTAGTTCTTGCTAGTATATTAATATCTATCCATAAAAAATGGCAGCTTTACTATAGATTTGATTCTGGATTCCCAAAGCATGATGTTTAGTCATCATAAGTATTCAGAATTAATAAGAAAGTCTTGATATACTTTTAAATTTCTGAAATACAAATTAATTTCAAAATTTTAGTTTAAGAAAATGGCATAATAATTAAAATTTATCTTTTTTTAATAGTATCGAAAAGCTCTGCAGTTGAAAGCTTCATATGAATATAAGAACAGAGTAGAAGCAAAGAAATCATTGGAGATGAGGCGTCCAGAAGTATCATATAATTTGGATCCTTTAAATGAAATATTCCAAACGATTCCCGCTGAAGAAGCTAAGGGAAAAGAGAAGCATACTTTTTACCGAAGTAAAGATTAATATTTTAAATTGTAAATGTAAATTTGTTATCATATAAAGTATTTGAAATTAATATATAGTAAGTGATCTTTGTTATTTATTTATTTTTATTACACCATTTCAGAAAATGATTTTTTAAATATTTTCTACAAACTTTAGATATAGAGATGTTTTATAATTCTTCTATTTCTCACTTGTAAAACAATTCCAAACAATTGGAAAAAATTTGTTAAACCGTTTTTAAATATTCTTAATCTTTCTTTGTGAAAGTTTCTTATTTATTTTTACATCTTAATTGATAAAGGGTTGGTTTTATTTTGAATAAGTATAATTTATAATTTTATAAATTATTACAAAAACGCTATTTGAATTTAAATTAAATTATATAATTTAAAGCTCATTGTGATAAGGAGACTTAATAGTTTTGTTTTCTGTATTTTTTTTTATCATAATTCCTTTTGGTTTAATATTTATGCTTTTTGAAACATATATTAATCATTTTAAAGTATTTTTCTGACTAGAGGGAAAAAGTTAAAATATAACTTTAATTGGAATTTTTGTTTTTCTTTTATTAAAACAAAAGAATAAAAATGAGAGAATCAATTCCATTTCTTGGTTACAATGAAATTTAAAGATACAAAAGGCATTTTTGTAATATAAATAGAAGTTTAATAGAAAAGTAATTATATAATAGAGCTTTTATCATCATTTTTTCTAATTTTAAAATTAAAAAGCTTATTTTTATAAGTATTGAGATTGTTTTCGCATAAAAGGCTCTCATTTTCTTTTTTATGTTAATCTGGACTAAAATTTGCACGTTATTATTTGAATTCAGTTAAGCAAAAATGATTTACCAAGACATATATTTAACATTTTTTTCATGGTAATGATGATTCAATGTACTCCTTTGAGAACGACAAAGAATGTTCACATGAAGGATTATAAGGAATAAGTTCAATATTTACCTAAACTTTCAGCTTGGAAGGAAAATATCTGCAAATAACTATGTGAAGTTAACAACTAGATACTATCTAAATTTGATTTGATCAGATTCAATGTCTACAAGTGAAGATAAAATTCTGTACAAAAATTTCAGCACTATTTTCAGATTTTCTCTGAGTAATTTCTTACTGTTTCACAAAGATTATAAGGCAGTACTTGTGACAGAGATTTGTTTTGGAAAGATGAGTTATACTGTATTATTTATTGTATTAAGAAAATTTTGAATTGTGTTTTATTGTGAACTATTTTTTATTAAATAATGTGCACTTTGAAATAGTATTGTTAAAAAAACAGTAATGATTTATAACAAAAGAGAGAGATCGTTACTTTAATATAGATGGATAAAAAATAGAAATGATTGATTTTTAAACTATGTAGAATGATTGGAGTGACAAAACTGAAGAAACGAAAAGATTTGCACTTGTAAATGTGATATCTTCTAGAAATTCAAAGAATTTCTCAGAAGAAACTAAGCAGTTAAGAAACAGGCTTCTAAAATATTATGTACGGCTAGTCCTAATGAGATATGTGAGACTTGGATGTGGAATAAAGAAATTCAAAGGAGAATAAACATATTTGGCATCTGATGTTATGGATTCTTACTAAATATTAAATTTACTGAAAGTTACTGATATGCTAAAAGAAAAGGTGTCAACCCAAAAGAATGAAGATAGATGATTTTGTGAGCTGGAGTGTACACTGAAAAAGAAATCTTACTTGTTAAGATTGTGGTGGATGGCACTCCATGTAATTGCCAATCTTTGTCTTGGAGATGGCACTTATTGATTAATTGAAATAATTTTAACAAATTACGAGATAATCAAAAGGTGTTTGCACTATAGAGAGAAGAGTTTGAAGGACATTATTAAATAGAATTATTTTCACAATCAGAAAAATATGTGACAGTGATAATAGTAATTGAAAATAATAGTGAAATATTTTATATTGATTGTATTCATGAAAAGTAATCAAAAAACGTTTTATAAGTATATTTTGAAATAAGAGTAATTAAGTCATTATTGTTCTGGATAAAGTAACATAGTGAAAATTGATAGTTGACAGGTTAAGTTTTTCTACGTTGTACTAGATTATTTGAAATTCGATTAGGCTTTTTTTACTTTTTTTCGACATATATTTGATGGTATCATTTTATATTATTTAGTAAGTTATTTAATATTAGACATTTTTTAAAAGTGTTATTTTTATATTTTATTCTTTTCTAACAGTTNTTTATAAATTTGCTTTGTCAAACAAAAAATGCATTTTCTACAACTAGAAAACAATTTATATATTGCATAAACTTGCTTTATCAGTTATTAGGGATTGTATCATTTAAATTTTTATCTACTGTTCATTAAAATCACAGAAAATCTTTACAAAGGAATTTTTCGGTATAAACAAGCAGAATTCTGACATTGTAAAAAAGCTGTAACTTAATGTTTAATACAAAGTATGAGGAAATTATTAAACTCTGATTAATTAATAACTGAAAAAACTGTTATTTACTTAAATAATTGCAATGTAAAACTGCTTAAAAACATTAATAATTAATCTATGAAATAGCTACAATTGAAAGTCATTTATTGAATTAAACGAAAAATATTTCTGTAAAAAATACATTCCATCATAGGGTATCTGGATTCTGAACCAGTCTAGACACTCATAATTTATTATGAGCAATAGGGGGTCGTGCCATCGTTTCTCATTCCATGCTCATACTGGTCGACTTTATAGTGGCCCAGACAGTGCTGTAACTAGGCAGGTGCACAGGGCCCCCGGATGAATGGAGGGGCCCTTGAAATGGTACATCAAAAAATGATCAGTATTATATTTGCATTTTTAAATTTTGCTGACGTGGAGGCAGATTTCGTAACGTTTGGTAAAAGTTAAAAATTAATCAAATATATTTCTATGGTATTTGTTTTTTAAATATTTTTTCCAAAAACGGAGATCCAAAAAATAAAATCTTTCACAGGGAACATGAAAAGCTAGTTACTGAGGCCGGGTCTCTCGTAATGGGCTTAATTATGATAGACATATAATCTATAATATGCTAATGCCCTGCGTGGCAACAATAAAGAAAGACTTCAGAACTTTTACAAATTCAAGACCTGTTTAAAGTGATATTTATGCTTTACCATAATCAATTGCAAATATGTGTTAATTTCCATTTGGAGAATTGTTTCTATCTGTGAAGAGATCAAAATTGATACAGAATAATCGAAGGAAAGTGCGGAGATTACCGATTATCGTCGGCAACACGAAAGCAGTATTATTAAAGATAATCTGTGCCAATAGTTCTGCTGCACCGATGACCATAATATAAGTTAGATCATCAATGAAAGTGATAATCTGTGAAGTGCCCATAAACGGTCGTGGAATACATAAAATACTATAAACTATCATAATACTATATGATTCTATGATGAAAAGGATCCTTACACATATCAATGTATTTTATCTGAAAAAACAGCGTTTTATATAAATTACAACTAATATGAAGTTATTTAAATTTATCTAAGGTATAACTTTGAATCATAAATTATATTTTTCATTTTGATACTGTATATTAAACTAATTTCCTTCTGTGTTTTTATATTTATAGAAATATGTAATTCAAAAATAATTTCTTGTGTGGCAAGATCTATAAAATGAATTTGATTTATTAAATTTCTTTTTCCAAGCAATCAAATTCCTTCTTCAGTTAATTAAATCCCGTTAGGAATTGTCAGAAATTTGTGCTTATTGGTCAGTATCGTAGCGACAATAATAAAGTGCTGAATCTTAGCCAATACGAAGGACGAGCAATAACGTAGAAAAATGCATCGATAAATGGCAGACAGATACCTACAAGTAACGAAAAATGAAAATTTTTGCCATTGCTTGTATGTAAGAACTTAGGAAAAGTTAAGTGAAAGGCAGGAAAATTGTATAATTTCAAAATTTACACTTGTTTCAGTGAAAATTATTTAATAAAATAAGAACAGTTTATAGTTTATCTTCAATTATAATTTACGGATTTAAAGTAAAAAAAGTATAGGATTTAAATATAAATAATTGAAAAATCTAAGCTTGTATAAAATTAAATTCTAAGCTAAAAGAGTAGTCCCCTCTTTTAAGACGGGTATAAATTCTCAGTTACGATTGTATGAAATACCCTATTTTTATTGCCCATCTGTGTGTTGTTAAAACCTTATTTCCAAGAACGTATTTTCAATTTGACACAGCTTTTCGGTAATAGGGCGGCTCGTCTTACGACGATTTTCCGGGACGTAAGTGTGTCTTAAAGCGAAGTCTATTATAATAGTGATGTTTGTTCTTTTGCTAATTATTGCGCTAAGTAAATGATGAGAATTTTAGAAATTTTGAATAATTTTAGATTATTTGATATATAAATAATAATGGTTTTTCGTATGGAGAGAATTTTTGAGTTAATGGAATTCATATTGAAAACGTATCGGAGGATGCGTTCTTATTACTTCGTTGTTGTTGTATCATCATTGCATAACATTCTGATCATAAACATATAAAAATAAATATTATTTCGTAATCTCTTTATATTAAATAAATCTGTTTCTTGGTTTTAATTAAAAGTCGGGGAAAAACGATTTTGTTATTTCTTAAATATTTCTTTATAAAAATTGCGCTCTGACAAAAGCGCAATTAAGAATAGAATTAGAAAGCGATATTAATTTCGTCATCTGAAAAATTCCGAATTTTACTCATGAATGGAACTAGAAAATGCAAATTATGAAATAATTAAATAAGAGAGTAAATTTGGTGGGAGACGAAGAGATATGGCATGAGACTGGAGCCGACGGTCGTCCAATATGATATTTTCCATCGATATATCTATAGTATAATTTAATTATAAGTAAATATTTGGAGTTTAACAGAAACAGAGCACTATTCATGTTTAGATACAATGAGCTTATGGTTTTCATCATGCCAAAAATAATTTTTCTTATCGTAGTTTAAGCAGGTGTCGCCAGATGGCGCCACATTGATTCCAGCTGACTGAAATTACGGACGAAATCATCGACATTTTTCTAAATCCCAGCTTCAATAAATGATGGAAAGAGCCTT